TTTCTCGTTTTGTCCCCCGTAGGAAAATTATTAATGTTAGGGATGAGATTTTCCTACCTTTACCCTTTCGTCGCAGATTGCGCAGGCTTTATCGTCGTTTCCATCTTCAGAACGATGTTTCTGTCCTGCCCTTGATTTGTGATATTTTTGATCGAGCTAAGAGATTGTCTGAAGAAAAACAGCTAGCCGAATAGGTCCAGTTTACCGAAAACCATTCGTTAAATCTCTCGAAACTTTTCTCTAGAAAAATACGAACTTACCGAGAGACGCAGTATCCCATCCTCCGAGACGATCTCGGAAATCCCATAGTTGATGCCCAGTTAACCGCGGATAGCTTCAATGATTTCCTGTCTAAAACGTTTATTGAAGACTCGACCACTCCGCTTCCGACCATCCAGTCCTTGACCGGGGCAGTTCTAGAAACTATAACTTTCACTCTGTGGGATGTGACTGTTGCGATTCGGCGTTTTCGTCAATTTGATGGTGTCCCAGTAGGCATTTTAAAAGCCGATGCAAACACGATCTTCCCATCCCTCTTATGCAAGATATTTAATCTTGCCCTTGAAAGTGAAACTTACCCTACCTTGTGGAAGGAATCACACATTCTGCCCATTCCTAAGCACGGCAAATCTACATCAATTGATGACTTTCGGCCAATAAACACCCTCCCTGCAGTTTCGAAGATCTTAGAGACATTGATCAAAGATAAGATGATGTGTCACTTAACAGCGAATAACTTACTGAGTGCTGCTCAGCACGGATTCCTCAAAGCTCGATCTTGTGACACCTGTCAACTCTCTTTCTTTGACTATGTTCTCCAATCTAGGGACCATGGTTTTGCACTTTACACAGTATATTTCGATTTCACTAAGGCTTTTGACCGTGCTGACCATGCTCTTCTCCTCTTGAAATTGTCCTCTTTCGGAATAGGTGGCAAACATTTGAATTTTATATCCTCTTATTTGGGCACTCGCACACAACGAGTTAAGATTTCCAATACTATCTCCAACCGCACACGTGTGAGGAGTGGAATCATTCAGGGTAGTGTACTCGGCCCGCTTTTATTTTGCCTTTTCGTTAATGATGTACCCGATTTATTTCAGAATGGTAAGCCTTTCATGTATGCCGATGATCTTAAAGTAGCATATCGATATAGGCCGGCAGATCATGACATCGTGCTTGAGCTCCTAAAGAGCGATCTACAGGCTTTCGCCCAGTGGTGCCGCACATGGCGCCTTCCTCTTTCTTGGCATAAGTGCTCAGTCACGGTGGTTGGCGACGACCGCCAACCTCAACTAAGTATTGAAGGTCACGCCATAAATGTGCCAGGGGTTATAAAGGATTTGGATGTATCATACTCCAAGAGTCTCAATCTCTCGGAGCACTGTGCCTTGATAGTCTCCAAAGCACGTAGAACGACCGGGTTTATCCTCCGAAATTTTAAAACTAGGGACATTAGAATGCGCCTTTTCAACATGTACGTTAGACCTGGTCTGGAATACAGTTCGTTTTCATTTAGCCTCATGCGTGCTACTGAGCGGAAGAAAATAGAATCCGTTCAACACTTTTTTCCAAGAGAATTTTAACCCCGGAACACCGACATTTGTCTTACCAAGAACGTTGCCGGCTTACAGGCCTCGATCCTTTATGGTTCCGTAGATTACAAAAGGGACTATTTTTGCTATTTAAACTCTTATATAATCACACATTTAACCGACGCACCTCTTTAAGACATCATATCCACCCACGACGTAACAGTCACCGTGAGGTCTTCTTATTTCTGCCTCTCGCACGTACTGTTAAATATCGTCGGTTCTTTTCTGTAAATACAACTTCTATTTGGAATAAACTACCCATGAGTGCGAAGACTCTGCAAAATTATCCTTGATTCAAGAGAACTATTACTCGATTTTTGCATTCAGAAAAGCTCCCACAAATTTTGGGTGCCGAAAACTCTGATCGACTGTACCGTAGCGATGGCGTTTGTGGTCTCTGAACACTATGGCCGGTCTCACCAGCTGTTCCTCAACGCCTCTACTTTGACTATCCCCAACTTCATGAAAGTAATTGACGTCCGATAATCTCCGATACCGTACAACCTCCCCCCTTCTTGACGGTCGATATTCTACCACCGCCGGCAGTTTTTTCTCCTGAGCCCTCCAAACCATATAAACCACCATCAACTATATTTTTCTCCCTTTAGCTCAGGAGTTTTTTTTCACTGCTGGTCGGATATTTGTTTAATCGCTTCCTTAGACCATGCCTGCAAACTGGCATTAAACAATTGATTATTATTATTATTATTATTATTAAATGCCAGTGGAATTAAGGAGCCGATCACTACCGAAACACTTGACCAGCCGGCAGTTACGGCAGGCGCTTAATTCCGGCGTTTCTGCTAATGCCCGCTATGCAGATCAGTTGGCAATTACACCGACTACTCTCGCCTCGACCAGCAGTCGGTCAGTCTATCTAGGAATTTCTTAGCTGGCGGCAACATCAATCTCGACAGTTTGCCGGACATCTGTTTAGATTATGTCAAGAAGCTTACTGCTCCTTGACGGCGGAGGACACCGAGGAGGTCTCACTCCATCGTTTCATTAAAGGGGTTGTCATCACGCGCCCTAACAGATTCGTTCATACCTTAGCCCCCTGCATTTCTGAAAGGTACAATCGATCTGAGATGGTTGCTTTATACACATTGGAAGGTCCAGGACTCGCTCAGTGGATGCCGACTCGATAACGTCCGTCGATGACAAACGCCACGCCGTTTCGTCCAGGCGTCTAATAATGCAGTGTCGGAATCTGTGCTTTATGCAACCGTCCTGTTATGCCGCGTCGGCTCACTGACAACGACAGCATTTACTGTAGCGGCACCGTCCTACTGACGCAAAGTTTTGTGGTTTATCAGACACCGCTCGTATCCTGCAGGATCATTGACATCTGTTTGGCAATCCTCGGTCCCTTCCTTCCCCTCCCCTTCTCGATGAGTCGATGTAGATGTCGGTCGACCTCCATGAAATGTAGAATGGAGCGTCTGTAATGAGGCAAGGCTCACAAAACTGCTGGCGGACGTTGGCACGGGCCAGGTGTGGATAATGTCGATTGCGTCTGTTGAGGCGCAGATACCGTCTGCACTGGCTTCATAGCCAGGATAAGCGACGTTCTGTTTAAGGGAAGTGTACTTTGCCGGACTGAGGCGTAAAGCCGCGTCCCGCAAGGCCGTCAGTACCACTGAGTCGACGGTTATTTTCGTCCACCAACTCCCCAGAGACGATCACGTCGTCCAAATAGAAAAAAGTTTGTAGAGAATAGATAGGTTAAAATCACCTGCTTCGGTCTCGGGAATGTATTCACGACGTTTCAATATGACTGCGTGCCAGCGAAGATAGCCAGTGTCCATTACCCACTCAACTGTCGACTTCAAGCCCACAGCTATCGCCGTAACGCGTGCTCTGCTCACTTTACATCAGTGCCTTTCACAGTTCTCCCCTCTAACTGCCCACAACGCCGCATTCCCTACCGTTTGTTTAGCAAGCATGTCGGCTTCACCTCTTAGTCCAGACGGACACATGCTTGTTGTGATTTGTCCTTTCTTGTACTACAGAATATTATTATATTATATTATTATATTATATTATATATATATATATATATATATATATATATATATATATTATTATATGTGCTACATCTCCGTCCATTCTTCATGCATATGTATGTTTGTATTAGCTTAATCTTTCCTCTGCTTTCGTATGGATAAGTGCTATTACTTGCCCAACAACTCTTTTCTGCTCGTTCCGATCCGGGAATGGTTCCCAGTGCTTCAAATTACCTCCTGTGTGCCACCCTCAAAGTAGTCATCCGCTACACTGCAAATAGTGCCAGCTATATACTCCCAATGTTGTTGGAGGTCTTTTTAAGGATTTTTATGAACAAAATCGCATAATATGATGCATAGGAATAGGCAACTATGCGTTTTAGCGAAGTGAGTAGTGAACATCTTCTACTTATTATGCTTGGTGTAAGTTCCCGCGTATGTTGTCTCCTTTTAATCGACACATTTTATCATATACGTTGCATTTTTGCTTGTCTCCGAAAATTACGTCGTTATGTCTTTCTACAACCTTCGTACTGTTTGTTTGAATCTCCCGTTCTCCTCCCGCGTAACTCTGTACTACCTTTCTGACTATACGCCACGATGAACTGCTCAACGACGTCGCGGAACGTCGCCGGCCCTTATTGGTTCTCATTACGGTTTTCTGATTGGCTATGGTCGGTCAGCTGATTGGTGGAGTCAGTCAGCTGATTGGCGTTGTGCCTTGCCGTTGATTGGTGGGAGTCCGTCAGCTGATTGGGCAAGTATTCTATGCGCGGGTGTTTAAATTTGCCAAGGTCACGGCAAGTTATAGCAGCAAAGGCGGAAGGCAACGTTGCTGTTGAGGCTTTCCAAAGACTTTGTGGGGGTCAAGGATGTGAGATCGACTTAAACCACACACAATAAGTTCGTTTCGTCTACTTTCAGAAGTCAGGGAGCTGTGAGGACTAGTTTATTCTGTACACAGGGCAGGTTGCCGTAAGTTGGCGGTTTGCTTGCAACAGAGAAAAGCGTCCGTTCACGGAGAGCGTCAGTCGCGGTGTGTGTTGTTTACGCGAGTGTCAGTGTCTAAGTCAGCAGGAGGGGGTGACTGTCTGCGCGGTGGTCGTGTGATTGGACTAATTAGGGGACGAATGGAGGGCGCATACTCACAAGGCCTCACGGGAATCAAGCCAAAGCGTTCGACGCGCGTTAGGCGATACTAGTTTTTGAGTGCAGCCGGGAGTCACTGCAGCTGGACAGGAGGTGTCCCGGTTCTAGCCGGCGGGGGTGGTCGTGCGTCAGCGGCCTGTCAGTGCTTATCGCGGTCATCGACCGACAAAAGGGAGCCGGAGAAAAGGGGGACTGGAGCAGCTGCTACAACTCCCCCCCAGACACCAAACAAAGTGAAGGCGTCGACACGCTAGCCAGCCACAAACCTGTCGGGCCAGTGGACGTGGCGACCAGATCGTGTGTGGCGAACCGGAGGGGGCCTGTCGCCAGTAAGTGGAGGGGGCCGCACTGTCTGAGACGGGGTACAGTGTTGGGGTGAGGGATGGTCACTGTCGTCGATGTAGGCCGGCTTGACGCGATCAATGCTGACTGTGTCGGTCTTGCCGTTGCGGTCGATGACAACATCTTTGTCAGATCGGCGGAGGACTTTATACGGCCCGTCATAGGGTGGTTGGAGTGGTCGTCGGACAGCGTCATGCCGAACCAAGACGAAATAGCACTTATCCAGGTCGGGAGGGATGAAGGAATTGGCCGGTGACGCCCGAGGGGGCGTTGCGCGGAGTTTGCGCATGACACTACGCAGCTGCTCCACATAACTGCAAGGTTCGAAAAACGTTAGCATGTTTGAGGGAGACACTAACTTACCGGGCAATCGTAGTGAGGTTCCGTAGACAAGATCAGCTGCAGTGCAACCGATGTCGGCCATGAGAGTGGAACGGAGGGACAACAGCACCAGGGGAAAGTGATCAGACCATCGGGAAGGATCGGGCTGGGCCATAAGGGAAGTCTTGAGCTGTCGATGAAAGCGTTCGACGAGACCATTTGCTTGAGGGTGGTACGCTGTTTTTCGGATTCGGTTGGTACCGAGAAGGGATGTGAGTTCGCGAAACAGCGTGGACTCGAATTGGGATCCGCGGTCAGTGGTGACAGTCGCAGGAACTCCAAAATTGGACACCCAACGAGTCAAGAAAGCTCTTGCTACGGTTTCGGCACTGATGTCCGGAATAGGCACAGCAACCGGCCACTGAGTAAAACGATCAGTGCATGTCAGCATATAGGTAGAACCGTTAGATGGTGGCAACGGACCTACCAGGTCAATGTGTACATGACTGAAGCGTGCATCAGGAGTGGCGAAAGTACCTGGCGGAGTAATAGTATGCCGATGCGTTTTGGCTCGCTGACATGATAGACGAGATCGGGTCCAACGCCGTACATCCCGATTGATGTTGGGCCAGACGAATCGGTCAGTGATGAGTTTCACTGTCGCCCGGACTCCAGGGTGGGATAGATTGTGAAGAGTGTTGAACACTCGTCGTCGTAAAGTTGCTGGAACAAAAGGACGTTCGTGTCCGGTAGAAAGGTCGCACGTGATGGTGCCAGTGCCAGTGGGAAGGGGGACATCTTGAAGGCGTAAAGAAGAGTTCTCGTGGCGGTATTGGGAGAGCTCGTCATCCGATCGCTGAGCCTCAGCCATGAGTGTGAAGTCTATGGCGTCTGTTGTGATGGAAGCCATCTCGATTCTTGAAAGAGCATCAGCAACCACATTTTCCTTACCATGGACATGTTGGATGTCGCAGGAAAACTGTGAGATGAAGTCCAGATGACGGATTTTACGGGGCGAGTATCGATCGGGAGAGGCCCTCAGTGCAAAAACGAGTGGCTTGTGATCTGTTAGAACAACAAATTCACGACCCTCGAGGAAATGGCGGAAGTGCCGGATAGATAGATAGACGGCAAGGAGTTCGCGGCCGAAGACACTGTAGCTGGTCTCTGCTGGGCTGAGCTTCTTCGAGAAGAAAGCCAAAGGCTGTAGAACACCACTAACAGTTTGCTGAAGTGACGCACCAACGGCAGTGCTGGAAGCATCTGTCATGAGAGTTAGTTGGGCACCTGAGCGAGGATGGGCAAGCAATGTTGCGTCCGCAAGTGCGGCCTTGACGTCATTGAAGGACCTGACGGCCTCCTCAGTCATCACTAGTGTCTTCTTGGAGTGGGTCAGCAAGCTGTTGAGAGGCTGCAGTATGGTGGCACCATGGGGAAGAAAACGGTGATAGTAGTTCACCATCCCC